AAATAAAAAAAAGAAAGGAAATAAATAAAACAAGGAAGAAAGAAAATAACTAACTCAAGTAGATAAGTTCCCAAGTTCAATTAGATTAACGGATTGATTCTAGCTAATGTATGATTAAGCCATGGTGTGTGGTCATAACCTTGTGTTCCTAATTCCCTAATTTGATCATTTGTTGTCTAACCTAAAATTAAGCATTAGGAACCCATTAAGCATAGAAGAACAATTTAAACAACCAAGCATGTATCTAATCCCTGTTGTCGAATGTCCATACATACTCTTCATATTCATAGTTCAATTCGAATTAAAGCATGGTATCTACTCTTAATTCAAACCAAGATAGCTAACATACAAGCCTAAATGGTGATCAATCATTCAAACTAGCATATTAACTTATAAGAATAATGAATAAGAACATGAACCATAATTGAAACTTGGAAACTAATCAAACACTTCTCTAGAGCTCCCTTCCCTTCTCTCCCTCAAATTATCTTAGTTTCCTTTCTAGTTTTCAATTGTTGTAATGAAATATTTGTGCTGAAATTCTGCTTAAGTATTTCTTAGTTCTACTTTACTTTTCCTTATGTACATTCTTTCTTTAGTTTCAAGTTGAATTAGTTTCCAAGTTTCAATTATGGTTTTTGTTCTTATTCATTATGCTTATAAGTTAATAGGCTAGTTTGAATGATTGATCACCATTTAGGCTTACATGTTAGCTATCTTGGTTTGAATTAAGAGTAGACACCATGCTTTAATTCGAATTGAACTATGAATAAGAAGAGTATGTATGGACATTCGACAAAAGGGATTAGATACATGCTTGGTTGTTTAAATTGTTCTTCTATGCTTAATGGGTTCCTAATGCTTAATGTTAGGGTAGACAACAAATGATCAAATTAGGGAATTAGGAACACAAAGTTTTGACCAAACACCATGGCTTAATCATACTTTAACTAGAATCAATCCGTTAATCTAATTGAACTTGGGAACTTATATACTTGAGTTATTTTCTTTTCTTTCTTTCTTATTTTATTTATTTTCTTTCTTATTTTTCTGTTATGTGTAGGAAAACTGAATTGGATTATTCAATCACCAATCCCTGTGGAATCGACCTCGCAATTACATATGTTATACTAACATGCTTGAATTGCATGAATTATGCTCTCTAAAGCCATCATTATTACCTAAAGCTCAATGAACTGAAAGATAAACACAAAAAGGATTAAAAGCACAAGTTTAACTCAAAAACATAACCAAATCATAAGCTAGAAGGGTACAAAATGATATACAATTATGAACCGATCACCTGACATCTTGAAGAAATCGAACCCTCAACTTTAATAGCTTATTAGTGTCATGGCCGTTGGCTGAGACATAAGGAGATGTGCCCACGGCCGAGTTTTTTGAAACGCGGCGGGCCCAAAAAGCCTTAGAAAATAAATTGCGCCAAACCATGGGCTTGCCTGATAGGTACGGCTTTGTGCACCCTGGTACCCCCGGCTCCCCCTGCTTTGAACCGTCTTTCATGATAGATCGGATGTCTTCGATCTGAAACCCTTGAAAAGGCCTGCCCTGTTGCGCATCGTTTCGCTGCCTTTCCTGCTGGGTCTTTCGAGCACAGGGCTCGATCGCTACGACCGAGCCGGGTAGTTTCAGAGGGACGTCGTGGGTTTGACCGAGATGAGCTCGGTCCGCTGGCCATCGAGGTATGGCCACCTGGTTCTGTTGATCTGCATCATAATGGGAACCTAGGTGCGTCGGTGTTGTCGTCGGAATGGCCGGATCGTGTGTTTGTACTGGTAGTGCAGCGGATAAGCCTTTCTGATCGCATTGTTGTGGTGACGCTTCGGTCACGTTGCTCTGGCCGGACTGCGCCTTGTCGGCCAAAGTATTGGTCGGGCCGAGATGCTGGACCGTAGACAATGCAGGGCTACCCCGCCCTAATGCTTTGGCTAAAGCGTGGAGTGGGCCGCATGCTGTCTTTGCCAGATGGGTTGGTCCGGGACTCGCCCTCGTGGGCTGGGACTGCCCCCAGCGGTTTGTCGGCGGCAGAGAATGTTGGCCGTAACTTGACGCTTGGGTGCTGCTAGAGAAGCCGAGGCTACTGCTTTCGCCGTAAGGATCGACCCTTTCGCGCTCTTGGCTTCTCTGTCCGGCTCTAGGAGATGTTGCGGGCGAGGTTGCCGGCACCCTCTCCTGAAAAAGCGTCTGCAGTTCTGAGGAGAATCTTTCCATTGCGGCCATAAAGGATGTTTCTATCCTGTAAGCCTACTTGGACATCAGATCCTCCACCACTGCTTGTTCTTGCATGGACTTAGCCGTATTGTCCGTTGTGACCGGAACGCTGGCCGAGATCCCGACCGTATGTTCGGTCTCGGTGATAGTGATTGGTGAGGTGGACTCAGGAGTCTCAGAAGTCATTTCGACTGCTTTATTTTTGAGCTTTGCATGTGCCCTAGTCTCCACCATAAGTTTTTGACAAAAATCCCATAGGGCGTGCCAAAAGTGTCTGCCGCGCAGATCTCACGGCCTGGGTTTCCGGGCCGAGGGGATATACGTTGACACGCGGCTTCCTGCTTTTGGGTGCGGTGCGGTTGTTCGCGGGAGTGCCAACACGGTCTACCGTGCGTCGAGATGGTTGATGTGGATAGAATGGTTAAGTTGTGCGCTTGTTTGAACTCGTCTTCTAATTAAACGATTGTAGCCGAGAGAGGAACTAATCTCGGCTGTTAGGTTCACGGCCTGAGCTACAAGGCCTGAACTCGTCTTCTAATTAAACGATTAATACCTCTGGCTGTGATTCTGCTCGGCCTCGGCCTCGGCTTACAATCGAGGCCGAGGTGATCATGCCTTAGCATTTTTCTTTTGTTTTCGGGAAGGCCAAACACCTTGGCGAAACGCTGCGCTTTAGTTTATCGAGAAAGTGCTAGGGCCGAGAAAAGGGGCTCCTTCGGCCAGTTCATGGCCGTGATTTATTAGGCACAAACAGTGGTGATCAAGCAAGGATGGGGAGAAACCACAACATTTCTCGCAATAGATTTTATGCAAAAAACAGCCATCAAGTTGGGATTAGCAACGTTGGCAACAAGAACTACAACAAGTCGAGCGTACCATTCCTTCTTTCTTCTTGTTCTGGCTTTATTTTTTTTTTCTTTTTATATATTAACGGTGAGTAAGCAAAACAAAAAATAGAGCAAGTGGAGTGAAAAAGAAGGCACGACCGAGAAGAAAAAGAAGAAGACAAATCAATAAGTGAGAAAGAAAGGTTCGGCTTGGAGTTTGGAGATGTATGGCCACCAAAGCTCCTATACTCAAACTTTTCTTTGCGTTCCGTTCTCTGAATCTGAATCTTATTTCTCTTATATATTTATGTATTTCTTCTTCTTCTACATGCCATAAGTATATTGATATATGAGTATTATTTCCTTTTCTTCTTGTGTACATGCCGTAAGTATTATTTCTTCTTGTTCTAGCCTTTTTCTTTCATAGCCACTGAAGTATATCAGGGTGAGAGTAAGCAAAACGATAAAGAGAGAAAATCTAAACAGAGAAATCAAAAAAAAAAAAAGGAGATTAAGAAATGTTTAAAGTCTTGAACCACATCATTAATTCGTGTAAAACAATCAATAGCGTAATTATGTACAGAAGCTGTGTGTTTGAACCAGGCTTTTCAAGTCAAATGACCTTTTCTAATTTTGTTCATGAACTTTACTAAAAGGAAAAGGTGTTGGCATGTTACCTTACTACCAGCATTGCTTGAATTAAATTAATAATTGACAGATATAAGAAAAATTAAATTTGAGAGTTGGAGTTAGGGTTTGGATAAAAAAAATGACAAACATGTAGAGAGAGACAGACATATACTTGGCTGGCCAGGTCAAGAACGATTTTAAAAAGAAGAGAATCAGAACCGTTTATCGCAATCGCAACAATTGGATGATGTGGATCCGACAATCCCCCGACCTCCAAGCATGGGGCTCTGTTTAACGTTCCAGATTGGCTGGCACTCGCACCACCATAAGCCTTCAAACCCATTCCCTCCTCACCCCCATATGAACAGATGCGCAGTGGGCCCATTTGCAATTTCACAACTTTACTATTTTTAATAAATTAACAATATTCCATGTGTATATATCTTCTTTCGCTATAAAAATCTAGTCCAATGAAAAAATGCATAAAGATGTGTAAATATTCTCTCAATACTGATCGCTAGCCAGACCCAGGGGTCGGGTCGGTAAATGCAGACGACATGGCCCAAACCAAGCGACGTGGTCTTCTAGTGGGCTCGGCTCATAGTGATGGTCTGATGCATCAAAGGTAGCCCCTCAACTCTCTAACACAAGGAGCCGATCTTGGTTGGGTTTTTTAGGTGAGCCAGGCCTATGTTCATTTTTTACGGATCGGGTCGTATAGCCCCAATTCCATTACCGACCAGGCTTCCTGAAGACGCGCCAGGGTTTTTGAATTCGTCTGGAGACACTTGAGTAGGAGTGACGTGGCGCTCGTCGATTGGCTGTGAAGGAGTGCATTTAATGGCCTTTGGCAGTGGTCTTTTCGAAGGGTCGCGTCGCTCCATGTCACCAACGCTTCATCTGACGGGTCGTTCGATGTGGGCACGTGTAGGCATCGTGGTGAGATGCTAAAGAATGGACGGTGAAGATGATCGAGCGATTTTGATACAAATGGAAGAGGAATTTTCAGTTCTTCACTATTTCGCCATTGCTGCCGTGCTAAAGCTCTGAGCGAGTCTGTGCGAAGAACAAGTTTTTGTCTTTCTGGCAAGGGAGATACCTGGTAAGTTCTGCCTTCCTTCTTTTTTCTTCCTTTTCTTTCCTCATCCTCCTTTCTTTCCCAGAATAAGTATTTTCTTTGCGGTTGGTTTTCTCCGGGTCTAGGGTGTTGTTGTAGTGTTCGTCGATTTTTTCTTCATTTGGTACGGTTTGATTGTTTGCTTCCAACCCTGCCCCCACCTGGTTGTGTTTGAAATATTAATAAGTAGAACGATGTCGAGCCGATCAGACATGTCTGAGTCGCAAGAGACGAGGAGTAGAGGGTCGGCTTCTGGGGGTGACAGGGAGGATGATGTGGTGGAGCAGATGTTTGAGGCAGCCGACCTGATGGGAGAAGACATGCCCATTGGCCTTGGAGGAAAATTTGAATACCGTCGGGTTGGGGGGGACAGCCGAGGAGAAGTAAGTACTGCTGATCAAGGCGATTGGGAAGTTGCCGAGCATGGCCATCTAGGAGGTGCCGAGCAAGGAGATTCGGTAGGTGCCGAGCAAGGCGATGTAGGACGTGAGAGTGGGGTCAGGGAGGAAGTCAACGTGGTTGTGCCTGGCTCTAGTGGCGGGATAGACAGCAATGTGATGGGGGAAGAAATCGAGGTTGGGTGGTCGGCTGATGAGCATCCGAGCAGTATCACTACACAACAGTTACAGCGACTGCGAGAGGAATATTCCATACCGAGCAGTGTAAGGCTCCGAGCACCGACCCTGAGGGAGAAGCCGAGCACGCCCCCCCTTGGCTGGGTGACGTTGTGTGCCGATATGTTTAAGCAATGTGTTCGGCTACCACTATCTCCCTTTATACAGGAGTGGATGGCTCGGCTCGGTGTGGCCCCCCATCAAATGAACCCCAACGTATACAGAACTATGCTGAGCGTACAGGAGCTGTGGCGACGAGTGCATGGTTCAGAGCCCACCATAAATCAAATGCTGCATTGCTTCTTGTTGAAGAGGAGTCCAAATCAGGTCGGCTTCTGCTACCTTCAGAGTGCAGTGGGAAAAATGATAGAGAGCAACCCTTCATCTCAAAAGACCTGGAAACCGCATTGGTTCTACGCTTCTGGGGCATGGGAGTTCCCCGAAGGTGCCGAGCCGAGGAAACTCCGAGTTCAGAGGCGGTTCCGAATGCCAGGTCTGGTTTGGAGTGGCAGACCCGTCCCCCCATAGGGTTTTTAGTCTCCCTTTGCGTACGTATGCTGTGTTTTTTTTTCTTTATTTTTGTTTTGGGGGGGGTTGGGTTTTTTTTTTTTTTTTTTTTTTGGCTGTGTTGTGTGTTTTCTTTCTGAAAATTGTCTAACACAAGTGACCAATGCAGTAGAATTGGAGCGAGCCGATCTATCCTCTACCGAGCAGGAGCAAGTTGAGAAAGTTCTAGCGTTGCCGAGCATCGAGAGATCGGCAGACGTCCTTCTAGCGAGGGAGGGGCTAAGTGACTCGATAGGTAAGTGACTGCTTTCTAGTTCGCTTAAATTAGGTGGTGCTGAAATGGTTACTAATTTGTTTCTTGTGCTTAGGTATGGGGCCAAATCGGAACGACCCCAACATGAAGGCGAGGTTGATGAAAATTGCCAAAGAGACAGTCAAAGGGTCGGCTGGGGGTTCGCAACCTCCTCGGACGGTGGGGTCGCCTCATATGACCGTGGCTAGAAGCCAAGGCGCAGGTGTGGTTGCTATACCGGCCAGGGTTGGACAAAAGAGAGTAGCCGAGGAGATTTCACTTCCGGACCTCGGAAAGAGACGTGCCGAGGGTGAACCGAAAACCAACAAGGGGAAGCGACCAGTAAGCTCGGCTGCTCCCGAATCGGGAAAGAGTGCAAGTGTGGATTCTGTGTGTGGTCCATTGGAGCCATGGGTGGACGGTGAGCTTGCACTGAGAGCCTTCCAACAAGAAGCCAAGCGCGTTTTGAGAGTGGAGGTGGTAAAGAGCATGTTTACTGAGAACATGGGATACAGCGGTATGACCATGTCGGCTCTGGAGGACCAACTGAAGGTAACATGTTCTGACCTTGTTCTTAGCTGGTTTGCTGTCCTGCTGATATGTCATTTGTATTGCCTTGTTGTAGGCTACCTTCAAGCTCTTTGTCGCCGCTCAAAACGTCGCTGCTCACCGTGATTTTGATCGAGGAAAAAGGGACGAGCATGCCGTGACGACGGCTGAACTGAAGAGGACCATTGTGGAGAAGACGAAGGTGGAGGAGGAGTTATTGGTGGTGCAGGGTCGGCTAGATGCAGAGACGAAGAAGAACGCCGAGCTGCTGTTGTCAGTAAATAAACTGACTGACGACAAGCATAGTCTAGGCGCGGAGCTGTCTAAGTCTCAGGAGGAATTAGGTGAGGCCAACCGAAAAATTGAGGCCTTTGCATCTGAGCTGAGGACTTGTTGTGACAATGCAGTGAAGGACTATGTAGGGTCGGCTGAGTACCAGGAAATACTCGCTGCGCAACGAGTTGAGGGATACTTTGACCTAATCCAGAAGGTCGGCGAGAATTATCCTTCCCTCGATTGGAATTTCCTCGGCCATGAAGTGGAAGAAGCCGAGGCTGGAGCCCACCAGGGAGGCGGGGCTGACTTGGTGATGGGTTCGGGTTCCGGGTCAGTGATTCAAGTAGCCGAGCTTCGAGGCCAAGGTGGCAGTGGCGTGGCCCGAGTATCCACCGAACCGGCTGCTGGCCCAGATGTTCCGATCGGGGCTTCAGGTCCCTCTGCCATTGCTGATAGTGCTGCAAATGTCTAGGTTTTATGTGTGTTTTTTGTAACCGATATTGAGCTATATTTTGGAACAATTGAACCTACGATCGGATCAAAGTTGGTTAGTTTAATCGTTTACAAACTTCACAGTTTTTACTTTTAGTGATTGTGCTTGTGCTTATTTGGTGTGAGCAGAGCCGACCACAGGTTTGCAAAATTTACAGAAAGTAACAAAAACAAAAATAAAATAACAAAAATAACTATCCCAAACGAGAGGAAACAACCCTTCCCTGTCGGCCTCCTCTTCCTTCTCCTGGTTCATGGCTTTCAAGGCTTTCTTTTGCGGACAATCCCGCATCATGTGCGGTCCATCGCACAAGTAGCAAGCTAGCTTCGACTTGTCTTTCCCCTTGTCACTTTTGTCATTCTTCTTCCCGGATGACTTGTGACTGTCAGACTTGTCTCCAGCCTTGCTACCCTCTTCGTGGTCTCCCCCACTGGATCCACTGCTACCTTTCTTTCCTTTGAATTTGGAGTCGCCTTTGTAACTCCAGCTTGGCCCAATTTTGTAGGCCACTCATGAAGTACATGAGCTTGTCTTCATCTGTCATGCTAGGCACCTCGAACAATAGGTTGGTGAACGTGGCGACATAGTCCTTCACGCTCCCCGTTTGCTTTAGCCATCTCAGCTTCTCCTTTGCCTCATACTTCGCATTCTCTGGATAGAAATGCAACATAATATCTTTCTTAAACTCATCCCAAGTCTCAAGTGTAAACGTACCTTGGTCAATCTCCATAGATCGACGTCGCTACCACATGAGAGCATTGTCGGTGAGAAACAACGTTGCTGTAGTAATCTTGGGCTCATCATCCTCGAGCTTGAGATACTTGAAATACCTTTCGATATTCCACAGAAACGTGTCCAACTCCTTCGCCTCCCTCTTCCCATCACAGGATTTGGGCTTGAAAGAATCTAGCACCTTCGGTTCCTTCGGAGTCCGGGTCTTGTTCAAGACAGCTTCCTTGCACAACGCCCAATCTCCTTTCACATCCTTCACCTCATCACGAAGCGCAGTAAGCTCCGCCATGAAATGATCCAGCTTGGTTTGGAAATCTAGCCTGATGCTGTCCAATGCGGAGTTGAGGGCTCCTTGGAATTGGCCTTGAAGCTCTTCCACCATAGCTCCGAAGCCCTCCTTCGTAAGGATGTCCTCTTCGAGTCGCTGATCGAACTCGATTACGGCATTCTCCATCTTAGAAAGCCGCTTCTCCATCGTTGCTACAACATCTCTAGATCGTTCCCTCTTCGATTTTCCCCCACGATCCAAGTTGACCTTGGACATATCAGTCTCCACATCGGATCCGCTCTTCGACATGGTTCTTCGAATGATTCGAGCTTTAGCTCTGATACAAACTGTCACGGGATGACTTTTTTGGAGTCTTCCTTTCGTGCGGCCTTAGACTTGATCGCCTCTCGAACAAGCTAAGCAGCCTTCCTTCCCACAATCTAAGATCGAATCAAGCAAGAACACAACGCAAGAGCAAGAACGATAAAAACACTCAAGAACGCACAAGAGAGTTTAGGAGAATATATGCTTGTATTGCTACTCAAATGCTTTACAAGTTGTAAGGTATGCTTTACAAGATGTGAGGTGCCGATACACAATGTGACATCCTCCTTATATACTGTTCCTATCCCACCTACCACCACAGTAGGTGGCTAAGATACAATGTCACCAACTGGACTCTACATACAATGTCACCAACCATAGTCTACCTACTATTGTACATTGAATCTAGACATGTGGGCTAAGAGGTCTAGCATGATTCATTAGACGGGCTGGGCCTTGGACATGCGGGCCGTGACAGTAGGCAACCTAGAGTTACTAGGTGCAACCGCAAGATCAAGTGATTGAAAAGTTGTTCAGTTAAGTTATTTTGAGATTTGTTAACGTATTCTTGTTGTTCTAAAAGTCGAAATCAGTTTCAGATGGTAGAACGATTTATTTGGTATAAGGAGTCCTGAGGCCATAAAGATTTGATGTTTGGTTGTGTGAATTCTATTATTGTGCATGCTGAACAGTTGTGGATAGTTAAATTGCTTGTTGTATAGGTGAAAAAGTTTGGGAAATGAGCAAATTATAGGGGAGACTCTGCCGAATTTTTAGCAGAAGTCAAACCCTAAAGAAACTTTGGATTTCGTTAGAAGGGTAATTTGGTCGAGTGTGCTCAGCACCTGCCAGGTGTCGGACATGCAGGCTTGATAAATTTTCGATGGCTGGAAAAACTCCAAATTGCCGACCAAGATTCTTACCCTAGGTTCAAAACATCGATTAGAGCCACTTTTGTTCTTGGACCTACCCCCAAAATGGCTGGAAGTGGCCCGAATTTCAATTCACGTGAATAGTAGCAGCCCTTGCCTTTTTTTTTTTTGGTCAACAGCAGCCCTTGCCTTGCCTTAACTTTTTGGGGTGGACTTGCTCTAATGTTGTGTGCCGGTCTGGATGGCTCTGAATCCTCTGAGCTTGTGGTTGTATTGTTGTCTCTCACCCAGCAATTGGTTATCTAGACGGAGTCCTTGTGTGTGTTAGGTGTTTTAAACACTTGTTCCTTTGTTTTGCTGTATGTGCTTAGTGATCACGTGCAGTTTGATAATTTGGGTTCTCCCCAAGGACTGCGTTTGGCAAAAGAACTGGGGGCTGAGCATGTCAGCATTCATAGTGATTCCCAACTGGTTGTCAATCAGGTCACGGAACAATACCAAGCGCGGGAGCAACACGTATCCGACTATTTCTGCAAGGTCAAGGAGCTCCTCTACTGCATTGTTCACAACCCATCACTCAGATCCCTCGCACTCCGAATACCCGAGCCGATGCCTTGGCTCGCCTAGCCTCGGCCTCGATACAGAGCTCACCAGAAGCATCCCAATCGAATACCTAGCATCCCAATTGAATACCTACCCGAGAAGAGTATCGACCTCACTGAATTTAACACCATGGCGGTTGACGATTCACCAAACTGGACGACACCCATATGGGCATTCCTCACCCATGGCGCGCTCCCCCAGGATAAGGAATAGGCTCGGCTTATCCAGACCAGAGCCACGCGCTATACGATCAGATGCTGTACAAACGAGGTCACTCCCTAACCCTTCTCGTCTGTGTTACCCCCGAGAAGCGACTTCAGGCTATCCAAAAAATCCATGAGGCCATATGTGGCGACCATGCAGAGGCTCAGTCCATGACGAACAAGGTGAGCCGGCGATGGAATTTTTGACGGACCACAGGTGCTGACACCAAACGCCTAGCTACATCTTGTCGACCCTGCCAGTATTTCGCCAACATACGGCAGCAGAAGCTTATCGGCATTTTCTTCTGAGCATGAACACGGTATCCAGTTTTCTCGAACCTGTCAAGACCTCGTCTTGAAATCATTGTACACCCCCACCCTGTGTTCTCTTGAGTACAATGTAATGTTATGCGTCCTCCTTTTCTATGAATCTAGTTGTTCCTTCTGGGGTTTTAGTTAAAGTTTATTCTCTTATTCCTCACCTCTGGTCGGCTCTGCTTACACAAATTACGCACATGAATGTTCGAACAAAAAAACAAACAGAACAAAATCAACTCCAATAAGTAAAGAAAACGGGTTACAACAATTAAATATTAGAAGATATGTTTTTCACGAACACATTGACCGAGCCGACCAAAGGCTCGTTTAAATTGTTCCAATTACAAAAATATTGCTCAAAAGGTTTCAACAAGAGGGAACGTCTTAAAAACACCTAAACATCCCTAACACTATCAGGGATGGGTGTCACCACTTCTTGACTCGGTTCGCCGTATTGGGTCGGGTAAGTGGACAATTGAGAAGTTTGAGATACGCCGTCCCCAGTGCCAGGCTCAGCCTCCTCTGCAACCGCCTCGGAATAAGTCTCCATTTCCACCTCGACATTGCCTCCCTGATCGCCTTGGCCCTCGGCCCCCTCAGTTCCTCCTCTAAGGAAACCCCAGTCCAGAGAAGGGTACATATCTACAACTTTTTCAATTAAGTCGAAGTAGCCCTCGACCCGCTGAGTTTGCTGGCCTTTTCCCTGTATCTCGCCTCGGATCACCCTTCGCACGCCTCTTCCCCGTTTCCCAATGTGAAGGTTCCTCGGCTCCCCTCTTCTGCCCGGTTCGGGCTGGCTTAGCAACCTTTCTCCTGCCTTGGCTCCTAGCATTTGACATTTGTGGAGATCCATCCACCCGATCAGGTTGTGAACCCCCAGCCGACCCTCTTGAAGTCCCCTTGGCCAGCTTCTTCGGCATTGCCTGCATATTTTGGTCGTTTCGGTTTGGCCTCATCCCTGAGCACACGAATCAAGTCGGTAGTACCTCATCGCCAATAAGTGTACGCTAATGGAAGAACAGTCAGTTACCTATTGACTCGCTTAGCCCTTCACTCGCTAGAAGAATGTCTGCCGCTCTCTCCGTGCTCGGCAACGCAAGAACTTCCTCAACCTGCTCATGCTCGGTAGTTGATAGATGGGCTCGCCCCAATTCTACTGCATTGGTCACATATTAGATGTCTTCCAAACCCAACCCAAAAAAGTACAATATGTAAAGCAATGACAACGACAGAGAGACGAAGGGGCACGCAAAAGAACCAAACCCAAAAATAAATAAATAAATAAAAAATAAATAAAAAGATGTAACCACACAGCAAAAAACCCAACTAAAGGAGGAGAACCGACACACCATCAGACCTGGCCCCCGAGGCGTAGAACCAGTGCGGTTTCCATGTCTTTTGGGAAGAGGGGTTGCTCTCTATCATTTTTCCCACCGCACTCTAAAGGTACCAGAAGCCGACCTGATTGGGACTCCTCTTCAGTAAGAAACAGTGCAACATTTGGTTTATGGTCGGCTCTGACCCATGCACTCGTCGCCTGGACGCCTACCATAGTCCTGTACACGTTGGGGTTCATCTGATGAGTACCTACACCAAGCCGAGCAATCCACTACTGCAAGAACGGAGATAGTGGTAGCCGAACCCCTTGCTTCAACATTTCAGCACACAAAGTCACCCAACGAAAGGGGGTTGTGCTCGGGTTCTCATTCTTGGTCGGTGCTCGGAGTCTTATACTGCTCGGAATTGAGTATTCCTCCCTCAGCCGTCGTAACCTCTGTCGGGTTATAGTGCTCGGATACTCATCAGCCGACCACACATCACCGACCTCCACTTGATCGGCAGTGCCTAATCACCCTGCTCGGCAGTACCTAACTCCCCATTCTCGGCAGTGCCTACCTCTCCACGCTCGGTAGTATCTACCTCACCTTGATCGGCAATGCCTACTTCTGCCTGCGCAGCAGTCTCTACCTCGATATGCTCGGTAGTACCTACTTCGCCTTCCTCAGCTCTACCTACTCCAACCCGTCGGTATTCAAAATTCCCATCAAACCCAATAAGCATCTCTTCCCCCATCTTGTCGGCTGCCTCGTACATCTGCTCCACCACTTCATCCTCCCTACCACCTCTAAAGTCCGACCCTCTGCTCTGTGTTTCTTGTGAATTAGACATGTATGATCGGCTCGGAATTTGCTCTACTGCTTATTCATACTTCAAACACAACCAAGCAGGGGTAGGGTTGGAATTTAAGAATCAAACCGTACCAAAACAAGAAAAAAAATACAGAAGCACACTAACACTAAACCCAGAAAAATCAACCCACAAACAGATTCTAGGAAAAGAAAGAAGGATGAGGAAGGAAAGGAAGGAAGGAAGAAAGAAACTAGAACTTACCAGTAATTTCCGTTGCTAACTGTGGGGCACAACTCGTTTCTCCGCAGAAAAATACTCAGTGCTTTCGCACTGCAATAATGGCAGAGATATCGGAACCTGGAGCGAAACTGGCCTCCCCTTCCATTTATGTAAAACCACCCGATCATCTCCACCGTCTATCTTGAAAATCTTTTGCCAAGATGCGTACACGTGGTTGCCCCATGCGAGCCGTCATTCGAAGCGACCGCACGATGGAGCGACGCGACACTTCGACAAAGCCTACTGACAGAGGCCATTAAATACACTACCGCTCAGCCAATCCACCCGCGCCACGTCGTTCCCACCCAAATATCTACAAAATTCATAAATTTGGCGCCAAGGAGACTGATCGGCTACGGATGGGGTGGCTATACTACCCGATCCCTAAAACCAAAATACACATGGGCTCGGCTCACTCAAAAAAGAGAGATCTCCTTACCCAAGATCGGCTCCTTGAGTTAGAGTTGGGGGGCTACTGTGATAGAGTATACTATCGTCATGAGCCGAGCCCACTAGAACACGTATTTTGTTGAAATTGAAGAAAAAATATATTTAAATTAATTATAAATATTCAAATTCAAATAGTAATAAAAACTTAATTATTAAAAATCACGTTCTTGCATTATGTAGCAAAGAAAGTTACTGAGTCAATCGTATTTTCTTATTGCAATCATTGATAGGATTTTTAGTTCCTGCGCAAAGAGGGTTAAAAATCACTGAAAATACTTGCAAGAATACAAGGTAATTGTAGTATAAATGCTCATTCAAGGTCGTTGTCCCCAAAGATTGTTTGACTAATTTGTAATTAAACTAACTCTTATTTAATGATTAAAATAGATTTTATCAAAGATCTGAAATTTATGAATTTGAAAAGATTAAATTAACAATAAAATAAATCTGAAAGTTAGGAAATAATAACAGCAAAGACGTAATAGGATTTTTAAACTTAACAATTTAGAGAAAACTAGGGTTTAGCCGTCACCGTCACAATCCTATGCAACTCTATCAATTACTTATGAATTTCCACATATTTCCTTTGAAGGTTAGGTTTTCCTAATGCATATTCTCCTTGTGATGTTCAAGCGAAGACGTATATCTTTCTTCTCTCTTCTTTCTTCTTTCCTCTTATTCTTTCTTATTAGAATATTGGCAAATCAATCTGGTTGAGTGTTTGATAATACGGGCACTTTGAATTTTGCATGATTGAGCACATTTCAGCATTTTTTTCTTTATATTATTTTGTGCTTGCTGAATTGGAGGTCTGCTATTTCTATTGCTATGGGTTTGAAGTTTTTGAGTTGGGGAGAGTAATTGATAACTGTGGTATTTTGGATTTTTTTTTTTTTGAAACTTTCATTTGATATCGATTTTGTTCTTAATTTGTTTCTTCTTTAGTGTTTCAGGGGGATTCGGTTTTTTTTTGTTCTGATTCAAGGGGCTTCGTTTGTTTCATGGAGTTCTTGTTTATATTTTTTCCTTAAAAAATCGGATGGGAATATTTTCCATTGAAGTTGTCTTTTAAGGGACAAATTAAGAATCTATATAAATCTCAGGTGGGCCGTGAGAGGATGTCCTTTGCATCTTATTGAACATCCCTCCTGTATTTGGCTTCAGTCCGTTATTGGTTATATGTCTGTGTTTGTGTGTGTTAGGCTCTTTAGAGAATCACATCTTGTCCATCTCGAGGGACTACAGTTAAATTTATATATTAGCTTTAGTCTTCTTTTTAACTTGATCACACCACTGTGAATTCACCATGGACAAAAATTTGTGAGACCTTCAGAGTTGTATGGAACTGGCTTTGTTATTCTTATATGTGACCAGTTAGGAGACTAATTTCTCTTGTTGGTTGGATACATGACCATTGGCTTTATTTGGTTTCTTCACATGGTGAAAATTCTTGGGGGAAGAATTTTAGTCCAAAGCTGTCATAATCCTCCTGTTTTCACTTCTTTCTGCTATAATAGTGTTGATTGCTGGTAATATCCCACTTTGTTAGTTGTTTATATAATCACCGGCTGTTTCGGTGTTATCCACCCATTTATTCAAAAAGTCGCACCGAACCGCACTAGTTGAATAGTGCCGGTTTTGGTTTCGATTTCGATTTCGATGTAAGGTGGAAACCGGACCTCGCCCAGGCCTATTAGCTATAGATCAAGAACATTGACAAAAGAAAATGATCGAATTGCGTTGCAATACCAATTGAATGGGTTCTCCAAACACATTCTATATTAGCTTGGGTAGTCGTGACATGTTGCTGGAAGTTACTCAAGGTTTGTGGAAGTCCTAAGAACATTCCGTAAGTGGGTTCTCATAAAAGGGAGAATTAAAAGGGAGTTTTAATTCACATTCGTTAAAAAAAGAGTTCAAGGATCGCCCATGACCTCGCTAATCAGAACCTAATAGATCGCACAACGATAAGCTCGTAATTTGGGTAAATAATTGATGATGACGAAGACAATGATAATTCAATTAATTAGATTAATTGAAGGGGTATACTGGTGAAATACCCCCTAAATTTGTACTTCGCTTTCAATTAGCCCCCTATCCTTTTTTTTAAGAAAATTAAGGATATGAACTTTTTTTTTTCGTCAATTTCCCCCCTACCGTCTAAATCATCAACATTTCATCCAATTTTCTGTTAAATCATTAAAAACAAATTTTTTTTTGGGAAAAAATTATAGAAAAGAGAAAACAAAAAAAAAACCCTCCCAACAACCATCACCACCACACCTCTCCCCACCATTGCATCACCAGACCTCTTACCTAACCCCAGATCCAAGGCCACCCCCTTCCTCACCGCCACCTCCCCTCTTAGCAGCCCACCCTCCTACAGCCACCACACACACACACACTCTCTCTCTCTCTCTCTCTCTCTCCCCCAAAAAATTTACTCTACACACCCAATCACCACAACCAACCACTCATCTCACTGACACAAAACAACTCCTCCCTATCCCTCAACTTAACAAGTCCAATGCCATCACAGCAGCCAATGATCCACCCCCTTCCCCACATGCAATCAACCCCCACATCCAAAAAACCCAAAATGAAAACCTTATCCCCACCCACAGACCCAAACCCATTTCGCACCGTCCTCCTCCTCCAATTGTAGCTTCTTCACGCGCTCGGAGGTTGGGTCCCACGTAGGAGCAGAGGTTGGTCTTCCATTCATGGTGTATGCGTCTGTGGCTGTGGTTGATTTGGGGAAGAAGGGATTGTAGAGAGTGGGAGAGATAGAGAGAGACAAAGAGATATGGAAGGTGAGGTTTTTATTTATTTATAAACTTCATTTCTATTATTATTATTTCAAATTTCAAATTATTTTATTTTTTTCATATGGAAATGACCAATTTGCCCTCATATTTAACGGAAAATTGGATGAAATGTTGTGGATTTAGGACGGAGGGGGGAAATTGGCCAAAAAAAAGAGTTCATATCCTTAATTTTCTAAAAAAAAAGAACAGGGGGTTAATTGAAAATTAGGTACAAGTTTAGGGGGCAAATCACTAATATACCCTAATTGAAGAGATAATTAATTAAATAGTTAATTGATTATGTTGGAACATAAGAAATGAAAAGTAACTTAAGAAACCGGTTTGAGAACCAAGGCCTATTGAGTTTTAATAAAAGGGGCTTAAGAAGAGTCAATTTGGTCAATTTTGACCAAGAGGCCCAAGTGGCCCTATCTGTTTCAAAACGGATTTGAAACAGTTTTGTGAGTGTGGTTGACCGGACAATTCTTTCAAAATAAAAGAATAGTGATCGTGATGATGTTGTTGACTATGTGTACATTGATTATACAAGTATTGTGTCACGCTAATGAAAAAGCTTGTGTGATGTATATAATGTGAAGACTTCTGTTGTGTGTAATGAGCTTAAGGAGTACTTTATGTAATAGGTTGATTATTCAATTTATTATTTAATTCGTGTGATGTAATATTTGAATCAGAAGAGTTGAGTGTGTATTTACATTGTGGGTATAGAACGGATTGTAGGAAAATAAAATTTTCTTTGTACTAGGTTTCGAGCTTCGCGTCCCGAATTGGTTTGTTTTGTAATAACTTAAGGGTTATTTGTGGTTGAAAATTCAGGGCATGACAGACTTGATACATAAACATTGCTGCTTATATTTTTCTTTGGTTGTTTTCTTATATCAGGTCAAAGGGTTGGGAGATTTATTGAAGACAAATCTAGATAAGGAAATTCATGAAGATGATGCTGATTTACTAAAACGGAAAAGTGAATTTGGAACAAACACATATCATCGGAAAAAAGCGAGGAGTTTATGGGTAAGTTTTGTTACAATTGTGATCATTTGAGCTTTATGAATTAGAAATAATTAGGAAAGAAGAAGAAGAAGAAGAAGAAGATAGATTTGTGTTGTTGTAATATTTCCTTGTGTTGTTTGATAAACATTTCCCTGGGAAGCTGGGCAAGATCTTATCCTAATTATTTTGATGGTAGCTGCAGTGATTGCATTTTGGAAGTAAACACTTTGTGGTATTTTCTTATGAATTTTAAATAAAAAAATAAAAAAAATTCATAGGGACCATTTGTGATAGGTACGTGAACCTTAAGGATGTTTTGTTGAAATAAACTTAGCTATGCCAAATGGACCCTAACTTGAATAGAGGATAAGATTAGTTCTTATTCATGACGTTAGTGGCCTTCACTTCCAGAATTTGATTTCTAGGAAATTTCCATCTATGATATAGCAAATTCGCGTAGGCTCAGGTGGGAACTTCTTTTTGCAAACCTTTACTTGCGGCTCCATCTTAGCCATCTAAGTGATCTCAACGGCTGGAGAGAAAAACCAAACTTACAATAGAAACGGGTACACTGCACTTCCCCCTTAGCCCACGTGTCATGGCGCGCATTTTCCTATCTCGTCCCGCCCTTCTTCCTTCCAACCGCGTCCTTTTTTCTTTATTTTTGGTTTCAGAATCCCTCTTATTCCTCTCAAACAGATTCGCCTCATCACCATCTCCTATTTTCTTATGTTAGAATCCATACATTTCTCTGGAACTCCCTTTCTCTTTCTCTCAATTCCCTCATGTCTTGCTCTCTTAGTTTCTCTGCGTCAACCTCCATCCCCTTCTCTCTCTCTCTCTCTCTCTCTCTCTCTCTCTCTCTCTCTCTCTCTCTCTCTCTCTCTCTCTCTCTCTCTCTCTCTCTCTCTCTCTCTCTCTCTCTCTCTCTCTCTCTCTCTCTCTCTCTCTCTCTCTCTCTCTCTCTCTCTCTCTCTCTCTCTCTCTCTCTCTCTCTCTCTCTCTCTCTCTCTCTCTCTCTCTCTCTCTCTCTCTCTCTCTCTCTCTCTCTCTCTCTCTCTCTCTCTCTCTCTCTCTCTCTCTCTCTCTCTCTCTCTCTCTCTCTCTCTCTCTCTCTCTCTCTCTCTCTCTCTCTCTCTCTCTCTCTCTCTCTCTCTCTCTCTCTCTCTCTCTCTCTCTCTCTCTCTCTCTCTCTCTCTCTCTCTCTCTCTCTCTCTCTCTCTCTCTCTCTCTCTCTCTCTCTCTCTCTCTCTCTCTCTCTCTCTCTCTCTCTCTCTCTCTCTCTCTCTCTCTCTCTCTCTCTCTCTCTCTCTCTCTCTCTCTCTCTCTCTCTCTCTCTCTCTCTCTCTCTTCGCTTTCACTATCACAATTCAAAAATCGAGATCTATTTGAGAGGGTAATGTTTGAGATCTATTTGAGTGAGTAATATATTTTCAAAGTTTGATATTATGTTTTGCATTTTCTATTGCATTCTTTAATGTTTAATTTTTGTTTAGGATTTTAGGCTTTGATTTTCTGGGTTTACACATATGGGCTGCTCCCTCTCTGTGCAGGTAAGACTACTCTTTCTCGGTACTAGTTGTGAGCTGACGTTATATTTTTTTTCTAGAGAAAACTGAAAATCTGAGAGAAAAATAGAAGACATGGGAAGAAAGTGAGCTCTAAAGCTCGTTCTTTGACTGTGATACTCATTGCATCTTATATTAGCAGGTATAATCTAGTTGACCCTAGTACGATTTTCTTCTTCTTCCATTCCTTTTTCATTATCGTTTTTGGGTTTTGGGTTTTGTTTTCTGTGAAATATTGTTATATCTTGCTTAATTTGAACGATTATTAGTGGGTTTTAAGCTTTTATTGAAGTTCATATCATTGCTTAATTTGATCGTTTTGGGATGGACAGCTTGGGAATTTAATATCTTTAGTGTGAATTAAGTGTATATGAAGTTTTTGAGACATGGGTGTTGCTTCTATTCTTGACATGTCTTTGATTTTCTGAAATTGGATATTTTGGTTTTCCACTACGTGGGTCTCTGAGTTTTGATGCATTTGCTATATGTTATGATGCATTTAGTATCTATTATGATGCATTTGTTATATGTTATGATGATGACAGGTGGCGGCCTCCTTGCTGACCTGTGGAGCTGGATATGAGGATAAGGTTTTCCGATTAATTGAATTTTTTTTTATAATGAATCAAAACAAGGAGTATACAAATTCGTACGTATTTGTCAAGAGGAATACTTCGTATATGAAGTGAAATGGCTGGTGTACTTATCTCAACTATATCAATACTATTGTGTGGAACACAAGTTCCAGCAAAAATTTGGTTGTCATCGGGTTTCTAGGTAACATTGTTTAATATGGAACACATTTTATTATAAAATTATAAAATTTTCCCTATGAATATGGACACCTTGTGAGAGCGTGATTCCCAACTATTGCTTTATTAGGTGTGAATTCCCAACGTAGCATGGAATGAATGTCTCCATCCGCTTTGGGTGTCTCCATTTTTGGGCATCGTATTACATTATAGAAATGAATTTTTTTTTAAGGCAAAGCGATAGGTTGTTGAAGGTGAGATTCATTTGGCATGTTGGCTGTATTCACTCATTCATATCCACTGCACTTAGTAGCTCCCTAAAAATAACTAGAATACAACATAATACATTACATTTTTTAGTTTGGGAAGAAAATTTATTTGGAGACCATACACTTGCATATGTGGTGAAGCACTTCCAATATGGTCTGCCCAGATTCCTTTCAAATTTGGAAATGAACATAACCATCTCAGCACACCTCTTTGGCTTAGTGTTGGCTGAAGAAGTCGACATTACCCAAAATGAAGACTATATCTCGACTATATCCATAGAAGACTGGGTATGGGGAAAGAAAATAAAATAATTTTTTTTTTTTGGACGAAAGAAAATAAAATAAATTTAAATACAAAACATTAACACAATAAGAATACAACATAGGACCACACGTTCCCTCAAAAGGGAAACTTGTCATCGGTGATGGTGCACGTATTTGTTACATTTGTTATATTTGTTACATTTGGGCTCTCCTTGTGCTGACATGTGTCACATTTGTTATATTTTGGTTAGAAGTATTAGCATTAACTTGGTTTTTGAAGATGACACATGCAAAATATTATTTAATACCCATCCCAAGTTATTCTGTTTTGATAGCATAAAAACACACATATACATATAGCATGAAAAGTTTGTCATATGAAAACGCTTTCCATAATACTCTTTACCCATAAACCCTAACCCTAAATGTAACAACCCAAATCTTAATTAATATTTAATTAATAATTTATTAAATGTAACAACCCAAATCTTAATTAATATTTAATTAATAATTTATTAGAGGAGAAGACAATTATGCCCTTGAGATATTTTATTTGGTTTTAAGTTGACTTTTTGACCGGGAAGGATTTTGGGAAATCCGTTTGTACCGTTGTGGAGAGCGCGAAGAAACGAGTCCGTAGACACGTAATGGGCTCAAATCCGAGTCGTATTGAAGATAATACGATCAAAATATGAAAAAGGGCATAATTGAAATTTTGGAAAAAAGTCAGATTTTTAAAAACCAGATTTCTTCTCTCTCTCCTCACTCTCTCTCTCCCCACAGTTCAGCCGCCACCCTCCCCAATTTGCAGCCACCTCCAGCCGCCACCACACCTCACCGGACCAGCCAAGGAAGCACCGCCACCACCTCCGCAACCCAGCCAGCCTGCTCCGCCGTCCAGCCGCCACGAAGCTGCCAGAAAAAACCAGAAAATCGCGGCAGATTTTCTCCGATTTTCAAATCCCTCAAACTCCCTCCTCCGGCCACCAAATCGGACGAATTAGGTATGGTTTTTCGACTGATTTTCATGCTCTAGCTGATGGTTTGGTAGGATTGGAGTGATTTTGAGGTTTGAGAGGTTAATTTTCGAACTGAAGATCTGCAGGTTTTGCGTCGCCGATTTCAGCCACTTCCGGCCACTTTTTGGCCATAGTTCAAGAACAAAAGTGGTTCCAAATATGGTGTATTACTTAGGATAGGAGTTTGGATTAACAGTTTGGAGATTTTCCGGTCATCGGAAATTGTTAGGCACACCCACGCGCTGCCGGCGCGTGGGACAAGTAACAGGGGCCACTCTTGGTCCCAGAACGATCCACGTGTCCTCACGAGTGTGTGGGAGTTTACGGATCTCAATTCGGATAACGTTTGAACCCCGAACGGATCTCGCATAGTGTGCGATTTCCGGGTTCAATATGTTCAGACCGTTGGATCATAGTCAAACTGGAGTATGTTGATCTAGGTAATTTCAGGATCTTGTAGGATTTAACGGATTGTCAATCGGAGTCTCGGATGTTTCGAAAAGGCCAACCCTAGGGCTAGGATTACAGAAAATCACTCATCCGTCCGATCGTGCGATCGTGAGCAATCCAACCGTCCGATTGAGACCAAACTTTCGGGACATGTGTCCTAGGCCTATTGGAACCTCACATGTGTCCTATGCCTATTGGAACCTCTAGGAATGATCGGATTGGAATTCTGAGGTCGTGGACCCCACGGGGTGCCGAGTTGACTTTTTGGGGACTTTATCGCTTTTGAGTCCCGAGATACTTCTAAAGCGTGTCCACTGAGAGGAAAAGCTAATGTGGGCATAGGAATGACTTTTAAAGTGATGCACGCACTTTTAGGAGCCGGGGGGTCAGGGTTTTTAATTTAATATTATTTTCCTGAGCAGATTTATTAATAAAATATTCATGATGGTTATTCAGGCACCCGGGCACCAGGTGACCCGCAGGAGGGACCTTCAAAGGGTCCAGCTAGCTCAGAGTATCTGTGAGTGGACTTTTTGTTTTATAAATGATTTTATGCAATTTATTCTTATTATTTGATCTGGAATAAGTTATTCATTGATCAAAGTGTTAACAGCTTGATTTATCGCTTTTATATGCTTTAATTATTATATGCCTTTAAGTATGTCAATTTATATGCTGCCGAGTGGGATATCCTTAAGGGATATAGGAACAAAGGAAAAATATAATTAAATAACAGATTAAATGGCAGCAGAGTTCAGAAATAAATAAGAATTCACTTTATTTCTTTTTAGCTTTTCTAAAATTATATTTTCTTAGAAACCACCATAGGTACCTAAGATTAATAAAGGTTGCCTTCGATAATATGTTGCCTTCGGATTTAAATGGTTGCCTTCGGTTATAACGATGTCTACGGAC